AACAGGCATCAGAAGTTCAAAAATAAACAACCTCATCAAGGTAAAGTAAAAGCGTCAAAGTAGAGATCCATGGACAATTGGCCATTCCCACACAGAGGGGCCTCACAGAAGAGAAGATATACCCAGGGGAAGTTTAGCATCAACGAAACACACAATAGTCCTCTAAGTCTAGTTATTTTTTTTCCCTCTAGTTCTTAAATCCTTCCTCTCCCCACATTATGATCTCAGCCATACCTTGCAAATACTGCTAGACCAGTGTACACACATTGATACAGATGAGAGCTTTCAATACACGGAATTCAGCATAGACAAACCCCTCAGAAACAGTAATGGAAGTAACGATTCCAAGAGGGTAGAGGAAGGGAAGGGGAGTGGGGGTAGATAGAAATGATGGTGGAATAACCCCTCAAGGGGGACAAACAGCAGGATAGTAAGTGTAGGGACAGAATGGGGGGTGGAAGATAATAATAACAATACAACATATGAAGGGGTCGCAAGGGTGCCAGCGTGGGCGAGGGAGGGAATAAAGAGGAGCTAATATCAAACGGCTCAAGAAGAAAGATAATGTTTTGAAATTGTTGATAGCAACATTTGTACATGTCCCCTTGATATAATGGATATCTGAACTGTTATATGTAGAAGCCAAAATATAATTTATTTTGAAAAATGGAAATTTAAATGTTGAAAGTAGAAAAAAAATTGCTGTTCAAGTTTGACAAATTTTTTATATTCCAAAACTACTGTCATTTTTTACTGCGAAGCTTTTCACAGTCAACTTTTATTAACTCTATAATTTAAAGAAATAATTTGTCTTGCTTGTAGAAAATGTTGTTGACCAACTTGTCTATGTTAACTGTGAGGTTATTTTTGCATGAACACAAGTTATCGCTTTTTCTCTTTTTCAAATACTCAAAACTATGAATCTTTTCCTCAATATCTTCTAATGCTCAGACATTTAAATTTTTATATTTTCATTTTGAAATGTCATATATTACATATTCTCCAGTCAGAAATCAGTTAATATAAGCTCATTTTCTTCTTTATTATGACTTTACTTTTATACTTTATCTCTAATCAATCTTCATTTTGTCGTTGTTATGTTTTTGTTCAGGGTCATGGAGGCTATTCTAATTCTTAGAGGCCCATGTAACAGGCTGAGACTGTCCGATATGATTTACTTTTTTCTTCTTAAAATCATTGGGGGCTTGTACAACTCTTATCACAATCTACACACACATCCACTGTGTCAAGCATTTTTGTACACGTGCCATCATTTTCAAAACATTTCTACGTAAGTCCTTGTTATCAGCTCATTTTTTCTCTCCTGCCCTCTCCCTCCCTTGATAATTTATAAATCACTATTTTTTCATGTTTTACACTAACTGATGTCTCCCTGCACCCACTTTTCTGCTGTCCATCGCCCAGGAAGGGGATTATATGGAGATCATTTTGATCGGTTTCCCCTTTCTCCCCCCCCTCAACCTTCTCCTTCCCCTCCTGGTATGGCTACTCTCATTCTTCGTCCTGAGGGGTTTATATGTCGTGGATTCCCTGTGTTGAGAGTTATCTGTACCAGTGTACATGCTCTGGTCTAGTCACATTTCTAAGGTATACTGTAACTGGAGTCACAATAATGGGGGGAGGAGCATTAAAGAACTAGAGGTAAGTTGTGTGTTTCATCGATGCTATATTGCACCCTGACTGGCTCTTCTCTTCCTTGTGACCCTTCTGTAAGCGGACGTCCAATTGTCTACAGATGGGCTTTGGGTCTCCACTCTGCATCCACCCCACCCTCATTCACGTTGATATGATTTTTCGTTCTGGGTCTTTGATGCCTGATACCTGATGATAGGGTTTTCTTGACTGTAATCTTTACGATAGCAGATTACTAGGTCTTTCTCCACAGAGTCAGTATGGGGGTTCTAATCACCTAACTTTTAGTTAGTTGAATAGTGCTTAAACAGTGTGCGACTAGGTTCATTTTTTATATGCAAGAAACAAAATCTAAACGGGTTTAGTTTCCAAGTAATCCCAAGCTACTCACTCAACAAGGGCTCATCTCTACTGATATGTGTTGCTTCCTCCTCCATTGTGTTAAGTGCTCATATCGACAGATCAGCTTCTCTTCTTAATGTTCTCTGTTCCATAAATCTGTGCATCTATATTTACATCAGTATCACACTATATATTTTTTTTATTAAAAGATCATTTTATTTTTTTTAAAAAGACCATTTTATTGGGGGCTCTTACACCTCTTCTAACAATCCATACATCAATTGCTTTAAGCATATTTGTACATGTGTTGCCATCATTATTTTCTAGACAATTACTTTCTATTGAGCTCTTGCTATCAGCTCCTCTCTTTGCCCTCCCTCCACACCCTTACCCTCATGACTCCTTGATAAATTATAAATCACTATTATGTTCATATCGTACACTGACCTCTGTCTCCCTTCCCCCGTTCGTCCCCCTGGGGTGGTGGTGGTGGTAGCTATGTGTAGATCATCGCCATCAGTTCCCTCTTCCTCCCCTCTTCTCCCCACCTTCCCCCGACTCTTCTGATTATCACAGTATCATTAACATAACTCATAATAAAAACTCACTACTGTTGTGTCGATTCTGACGCAGAGGGACCCTATAGGGCACAGCAGAATGGCCTCTTGGGTTTTTCAGGCTGTAAATCCTTATGAAAGCAGACGGCATGTTTTCTCTCTCAGAACAACTAATCATGTCAAACTGCTGACCTTCTGGTTAGCAGCCCAACATAGATGCAACACTACGCTAGTAGGGCTCCTACAACTCAGAGTACAACACTATAATGTACAACCAACCACCAGTGGCCAGTGGGTCAATTTCTACTCGTGGTGACCCTA